GCAGAGCGACGCGAAGGCTTCAGTGTGTAAAGGCTGTTATTCAAACAGGAAGAGGTAAAAACACCAGACGGCTGAACTGCGCTTCACCGCTGACCTCGTCCACAGCAGCAGATCAAGCTTCGCTTCAAAGATCCAAACTCTTTGGGATTAAGTTAAAGAAAGCGAGTTTCCTTTAAGACCAGCGGCCTGAGCGTCACATGCAAACAGCTGGCCTCGCTCCGACCGTCTGGGGAGGGGTCCGTTACTCGCTTCAGTACCCGAGCGTCTCTTTGAAGTCTGAACATGGACGCCGAACATCAGTGAATTCATCAAAAGATGAAAAACTCGGGAATCTTCAGAAGCAGGAGGAAGATTTAAACTTAACCTGTGACTCTGAAGAAACACCTGACGGGGGTTTAAACGCCTCAGGCCGACGTCTGCCACGAGGCCGTCAGACCAGAGGGACCAGAGGGGAAATTTAAAGGTAGTGGAGGGTTAAGGGTGGCTTTGGGCTGGAGGTCTCTCTCATCAGCTGCAATGAGCCAGCAGCCATCGTCCAGCTGTGCAGCTCTCGTAATTGCTCCACATCCCAGTTTCCCACGCTGCGCTCATTCCTGAGACGCCAAACAATGCCCCCCTCCCCCTCACTCAGCCCCAGCCTGGTATGATTTGCAACAGCTGGACACTCCAGAGGAAGAAAAACGTCTTTTGATGGCACTGTGGGTTTTCCCACAGTGCACTGCTCTCTGACTCACAGCGAACAGACGCCTCACACATCAGCTGCTGTGGAGCGATCATCATCATCGTCATGTTCAGCCGAGGATCATCAGATCCAAAACGCAGCCAACTCCCAACATCTGGATGTTTGGTCTGCAGTGTGAAAGAGCTGGGGTGGTTCGGCATCCTGGGTGAGGCGTCTCACGTCCAGGAATCGGACCCGGGAGACAGATTTTATTTCTCGGCTGGTTAGGACCGCCTCAGCGTCCCCTCAGAGCAGCTGGAGGAGGTGGCCGGGGAGGTCTGCATATCTGCTGCTCCCACAACCCCGAAAACGTCAGAACAGATGAGTCATTATGAATGTAACAAACTGCATTTACTGAACTAACAGTTGGTTTTTTTTTTTTTTTTGGGGGGGGGGATCAATGGTGGGAAGAAGTGGAGGTGGGACACCAGAGCTGGTGTCTCAGATTCTCTGATGCACCCATCACCTGGCTCCAAATCACAGCCACAGAATTTAGTCGCACACGTGCTTTTATTTTGACAGGATTCTTTACACCCTTCCTGTGTCTGACTTCCTGGCCCCCTCACCTGCTCTGGGCACCGCGACGCACCTTCCACACTTATGCCGGGTACACACAGGGAGCGCCCAGGAGGAAACAGCGGTACTGAACAGGCCAATCACAGCCATCGTGGACCGCGTCGCCCATTTTTCTCCTGAAGCGCCCGACAGGTGACGGCACGCGGTTTCAGAGGGTCTGTGATAAATGAGACCTACACTGAAACTTTCACTCCAGGCTCAGAAAAGCTTTTCTAAAACAGCGCTGCTCATCTCGCCATGGTAACCACCAATCTCTGCCACCACAATAACCACAGAAGAAGAAGCGACAGCGAGTGACACCAAAAGCCAACCGACACTTGAAACCTCAGACATTCAGTAAATGTTGTTTCAATAATAGCTGGAAGCCGGTTTGGTTTCAGCTAGAAGGAAGTTTCCGATGTGGCGGGGGAGGGGGAGGGTCACATTAATATTCAGCTCTTCACAGCAGAGGAATGTGGAGGGTTTGGAGGAGGAGCCTTCGTGTACGTTAGGTCATCGTGTACTGAACAAACTCAGACAGACGTGATAAAGTTCGTTTAATCAAAACGTGAAGAACCGAAACGTTTCTCCCTCAGTCTGTTACAGAAACCCACAAAGCTCTTCTTTGACCAGACTTCATTCAATTTTTGGTTAATTCTACATCAAACATTTGCCGTCAGCCTGTCCTGTGAAGTCCTCGTGCTGGTGAATCCAGATAAATGAGGGGCCCCTCTGCATCCATCTGCACGGGGTGTTCCTCTTTGTGGGTCTTTCATGTCACCCTCATCGAGTCGGGACATGTCGCTTTCCCGCTGCAGACGCACTGCAGCACATCAAAGAGTCCCCACACACACTCACGCACACACGCACACAGGGGTTTCCTGAGATTAAGCTGCAGCTTTATCATCCGCACACTTTAAACTCATTCGCAGGTTTAGAGATGAAACACGAGCGCGCTGCGAGCACTCGCCTGCGTCTTCACCGCCTGCGTTACAGCACGAGCTGATTTCTAATCCTCTGCTCAGATTTCACTTTTGCACAAATTGAAGCTCATTCACTTAAATTTGCTCCACCTGTAAAACAGCTCAACGAAGCAGCACCTGACGTCGTTCACGCGCTCTTTACAGGCTTCGGTAAGAAGATTAGGAGTGATGTTACTGCAGACATTCAGCTGACTCTTCCTGAACCTTTAATATCACGCTCCATAAAGTGAAGCATCAAACCTGCTCTCAGCATGAACATGAAGGACCTGATTCTGTGTTACAGCCAAAGCTGAAGTGAAGACTCGCACTCGTAACGTTGAGCAGAGATGACTCGGACAGTTCCTCTGCTCCGTCTGAGCTTCCTGTGAGAAACGATTGTATTTAGGAGATCGGATCAGCAGGAAATGACCTCTTCACTCTGCGTTCAGGAAACTCAACGAGCTGTTCAACCATCAACAAACAGCCACGCGATGACTTCCTGAGAGATTAAAACCTGAGAACCGTCAGCGCGTCCTGAGGTTCGGGCGGGACCGCGGCAGAGCGCGAGCACTGACTGACTGACTGGTCCTCGATGCAGCGCCACGTGAACCGGATCTCCGACTGCTGAGGGCGTCTCGAGCAGAGGAGTGACCAGCACCACCAGCTGCTGATGGTGTAGGTGGAGACGGGACTCTCTGTGGAAGGTGCTGGAAGCAGATGTGTGTCGAACTCCAGGCCTCGAGGGCCGGATGTGATTCAGGTGTGTTGACCCAGGGTGAGATCTAAAACCTGCAGGACACCGGCCCCCGAGGCCTGGAGTTGGACACCCCTGGTTAACAGACGTGCACGCCGGTGCGCTCGTGGACTCATGTGTCCGTCAACCAGCAGCACGCCGACCTTCACAACTTCTTCGAGACTCCTCAGTAACACCCTGGAGGCTCAGCTGGGGGCGCTCAGGTGCTCACTGCCTGCTTTCTTTACATGGATCCCTGGACTGCACCGATCTGTGCCACAATGACTTCACACACCTGAAAGCAGCAGAGCTCCGATCACGCAGCGCCGCGGGCCGAGAGAAGGCGGCGTGTAATTAAGGCAGCAGCACCTGAGGCCACAAAGAGCCCAGCTCAGCTCCAAGCAACGGCATGACCGAAGGCCTCAGGAATGTGGAGCACTGTTAAAAACAGAGGAGGCCTCAGGCGGCAGAAATAGACAGGTATTTTTAAAAGGCCGAGTCAGGAAGACTGAGACGACTTCCAGCAGACACAGATCATCCTGACAGATCTTACAACAGCTCAACCCAAACCTTTCACTTCACATTCAGACGCACAGCAGCGACAGGAGGCAGCTGGGAGCGTTCTCCTGCACCTCACAGTTGGTGCATACTTCCTGTCAAATCAGAAAAAAATGCTCTTCAGGGTTAAACTTTTTCATCTAGCTTGAAAATATGCCAACATGAAGCGCACGCAGACTGAAGGAGGGCTGATGCAGAAGAAACGCAGCGATGCATAAATGACTGAGCTCATGAGCTGCAAGAGCTCAGCTGCAGTTTATTTACGTCATCCTGTTTAAACAGGGAGGATGAATATTCCCGGGGGAAGCAGGAGATGCGGCTGAAAGAGGTCAAAATAGACCCTGAGCATGTCTGAGAATCATAAACACCAACAACTGAAGCCAGTGCTGGTGGTGCGTTCAGAGGCGGCTGGGACACCGAGCTGCCAACTCAAACCATGAGCGAGCAAATGGCACAGACGTGATGGAGACCCAGCACGAGCTCCACCTGCTTTCAGTCAGGTCAGATGATAGCTGCGACCCCCCCAAACACACACACACACACACACACACACACACCTCTGATTCCAGCGCCATCTTAAAAAATAGAACTCAAGTAAATACAAGTAGAATGTCATCTCTGACCCTGTTTGACGTCATACTGCCAGAAAACAGTCTTCTCTCCTGTTGAAGAAAGTCTCACCAGACTCCGTAGAAAATTCCACAGATTTAAATGTTCCCGGAGCCTTTCCACCTCTCACAGCTGTTCAGCGCGCTGCACTTAGAGCAGAAGCGCCAAGTTTATAGTGTAATTCTATTAAACAGAGAGTGCTTTGATGTGCTGACTGAGGCCGAATAAAAGAGAGGGACCCGCAGATGTGTGTTTGTGTCGTTTCGTGTGGCAGTTTTAACAGAAAAGAAAGAAACACGAAATTTACATTTTTAGGGGGGTTCGGCTCAGCGGAGAGGAGCGTGCAGGGGGTCAGACTGAGTAGAAAGTTTGAGTACACGGTGGTCACGTATGCCTCTCTTGTTTCTGACTGTTTGAAGCCATATCAGGTAATCAATCTCCTCCAGAGTTTCGCAACTTCTTTATTTCCCAGCCAGACTCCATAGAAAATTACACTACTTTAACTTTTCCATCCAGTTTGCTTGCACCGCAGATTTTCCATCTGCTTTGGAATGTGAGGACGTGCATTCAATTCGTGAAACAAACACTTCTCCAAACACACACACAGAACTCACTGAGCTGCCCTCGGACCTAAAGCGCAGAAACTCGCAACACTAAATATGGGATTCCGTGTAAGACTGTGTGGTTTGAGTGTTTTGACTGTAAGCCGAATGAAAGACTGACTTATCCAGATGCGTAAACATTTGTGTCTGTGTTGGTTTGTGCAGCTGTTTTCAGCGGGGAGGAAAGAAAAGCTTAAATGTGGAGTTTCTTAAAGGAGGTTCGGAGCGGAGGTGAGCGCGAGAGGTGTTCGGGGTCTTACCGAGGTGCAGGGTGAGGTTGATGGAGTTCGGGTACTGAATCCCCGCCAGCATGGTCTGGCTCTGCCACCAGGTAGTGTCCTGCTGGTTGTTGTAGTCGGTCAGGTACGCGGCGCCGTGGTGGTTCCGCGGGTCCCGGGCGTCGCAGATGTGGCACGACTTGGTGACCCCGGTGGCGCCGGTCTGCACGCAGTACTCCTCGGGCGGAGAGCCGCAGGTATTGGTGGCCACCACCGTCACGTTGAAGGCAGCGTTGACGAACTCGGGCATGCAGCGCTGCGGCCGGTCCCGCTCGTCCGAGCACTCGTCCATGGCAGCGCGCACGCACAGCGCCGCCGCCCAGCTCAGAGCCACCAGAGCCCGGATCACACTCGGCATTTTTCCTGCCCCCTCCGTCCTCCCTCACGATCAGAAGACTGCGCGCGGCTCCCTCGCGAACTCTCCTTCAACTTTTCAGAGTTTGCAGAAACTCCCCGGTTACCGACATGAACCGTCTCCGGGCAGCGACTGAAGCGTAGGGCGGGTGTCTCCGTCCCGGCCGCCTCCGCAGCTCGTGTCCGGCTGTGCTGTGTACTGTGTGGGGGTGTGCGGGTCTGCGCTCGGCCTCAGCTCTTTGTGTCCGCCGCCGCCATGCAACAAACTCCAGCAGGAAAAGACGAGAGTCCAGACTACACCCAGTGCGCTACTGCGCAGCTCCGAGGCGCAGAGGACCCTCCGCCACTTCCGTCACAAATCTGCAGAAAAATCCTCGGAAATCACAGCGCGAGCCACTTTTTCACCTGCACACGTCCCGCAGGTGAAAAAGACCCAGAAAAGGCAGTGGACATGAAATCATTTCAGCATTTACAATAAAAACGCGCTTATCTGACCCAAAGAGCAACTTTGAAGCGCTAAGAACAGAGTAAAGAGTTAAATAAGATAAGATAAGATAAGATAACCTTTATTAGTCCCACACGTGGGAAATTTGTTTTGTCACAGCAGGAAGTGGACAGTGCAAAAGTTATGAGGGAAAAATTAGAATACAATAAGAATAAATACAGTACACAGCTGTACAGAATAGAATAAAATAAATATACTATATACAGTAGAATAAAATAAAATAAATATACAATAAGATAAAACTAGAATACAAATACAAATACTATATACAACTGAGTAAAAATACAACGATGACAGAAAGGATTATTGCACTTAGTATTATTGCATATGTATGGATGTGTGTGTTTGTTCAGTTAAAGTCTTTATTATGGAGTCTGACAGCAGTGGGGAGGAAAGACCTGCGAAATCTCTCCGTCCCACACCGTGGGTGCCGCAGTCTCCCACTGAAGGAGCTGCTCAGTGCTGTCACAGTCTGCTGCATGGGGTGGGAGATGTTGTCCATCAGGGATGACAGCTTAGCCGCCATTCTCCTGTCACTCACCACCTCCACTGGGTCCAGAGGGCATCCTAGAACAGAGCTGGCCCTTCGGATCACCCTGTTCAGTCTCTTCCTGTCCCCAGCAGAGATGCTGCCGCCCCAGCAGACCACACCATAAAAGATAGCAGAAGCCACCACAGAGTCATAGAAGGTCTTCAGGAGTGGGCCCTCCACTCCAAACGACCTGAGTCTCCGCAGCAGGTACAGCCTGCTCTGCCCTTTCCTGTAGAGGGTGTCTGAGTTATGAGTCCAGTCCAGTCTATTGTTCAGATGAACACCAAGGTACCTGTAGCTGTCCACAGCCTCAATGTCCATACCCTGGATGTTCAGTGGTTGCAGTGGAGAATGCTTGTGCCTGCGGAAGTCTACCACCAGTTCCTTGGTTTTACTGGCGTTGATCTGGAGGTAGTTCAGCTGGCACCAGTCCACAAAGTCTTGGGTCAGACCTCTGTACTCCTTGTCGTCCCCATCAGTGATGAGGCCGACTATTGCAGAGTCATCAGAGAACTTCTGCAGGAAGCACTGGGTGGAATTGTGGGAGAAGTCTGCAGTGTAGATGGTGAAGAGGAACGGAGCCAGAACCGTTCCCTGTGGGGCCCCCGTACTGCAGACGACCCTGTCCGACACACAGCCCTGAGTCCTCACATACTGTGGTCGGTCGGTGAGGTAGTCCAGGATCCAGGTAGTGAGGTGATGGTCCACTCCAGAGTTCACCAGCTTGTCCTTTAGAACCGAGGGAAGAATGGTGTTGAAGGCACTGGAGAAATCAAAGAACATGATTCTCACAGTGCTTCCAGCGGTCTCCAGGTGAGCGAGGGAACGATGTAGGAGGTGAATGACGGCATCATCCGCTCCAATGCCAGGCTGGTAGGCAAACTGAAGTGGGTCCAGTGATGAGCTTATTAGGCGCCGAAGCTGAGCCAGGACCAACCGCTCCAGGGTCTTCATCAGGTGGGATGTCAGAGCCACCGGCCTGTAGCTGTTGAGGTCCTTGGGGCGTGAAGTCTTATATTCAGGTCAAACACGAGTCTGACGAACAGCAGATCACCTGACCTCTCTTCTTCATCTTAACAATTTCACTTATTCATCAACACGGGCGGACATTAAGTCTGTGTGTCCTGGGGTGGGTGGGTGAGGGGGAGTGGGCCTTCTCTAAACATTCCCAGGTGTTTTCCGGTGAAGGTGAGATTTTATTATTTTTAATAGAAGGAACATCTTCACTTATTTAAAGACAAGAACACAGACGTCAGACACCAGAGGTTTGTGTTAACAATCCAGATCCAGACTTTGTGTAAGCTGAGCTCAACAAAGCCTAAACCCCACTCAGAGAAGTTAATCCAGACTTCCTGCTTCAGGCTCTGAGCGAGCTCCAATAAAAGGTCGTTTTTGACTCTTCTGCATGTTTCTGGATGTTTGAGGTGATGTCTAACGCAGTCACAGTCATCACCACAGAAACAGAAACACAGAGAGCTTCTCCCAGCTGCTGTGGCACATTTCCACAGCAGACCCTCTCAGGGACCTGCGCCCCGTCCTTGTCTCAGACAGGACCTTTTGCACATTTAGTTCACGTGTTCAGCACAGAGCCACGTCTAAAGGAAAACCACCGAACCTTAAACTGCGACTTGTATCAGTGGAGTTGGTGCAGCATGACTGGCACTCTGAGATTAGAGGAACTTTGAGATTTGCGTTAAATCCTCAGAAAAATACAGAGTCTGGTTTGTGGGGTTTTCTCTGAGGCGCCTTCAGACTCTCTTGACTTGAAAATGTAATTTTTTTTCTTGAGCTTCTCCTGCAGAGAATCCACGACAGCAGCTCTGCAGGACTCGGCTGTTTTCACTCACAGCACATTCAAAATGATCGTTAACTGAGTAAAACACAGAGGACACAGATAAACACCAGCCCAGAAAATAAGATAAAGAAAAACATGTTAAATTAATATATTTTAAAAAAAATGAATAAGTAAGAAAGTAAGTAAAGTTCATTTAGCGCTTTTCACAGACACTCACAAAGATTAAAATAAACAGTACAATCAATGGACATTATACACAATGTAAAAGGTTTAAATGTAAATTAAAAATGTGAAGAATATAAAACACGTAGATCAGCAAAAGGCTTGTTTAAACAGAAACGTTTTAACTGCTTTTTCAAAGAATCCACGGAGTCAACCAAACGTAGAGTGATGGTAAACTGTTCCACAGCCGTGGTGCACAGACTGAAAGGCTCTGCCCGCTTCGGTCGTGTTCGAGGAACAACCAACAGACTCTGCGTCTGTGTGCGTGGACGACGAGCAGCGTATTTTGTAAGAAGCTCGGATGAATAATCTGGGGCCGTTTAGTGCTCTGCATGTTAAAACAAGAATTTTAAAACGAATTCTAGAATCTATTGGGAGCCAAAGTAAAGAATATAAGACGGGAGCTAGAACGAGTTCGTGGGCTGGCTGCTGCGTTTTGTATCACCTGGAGGCGAGACAGAGATGACTGATCCAAGCTGGTGAACAGGGAATTACAGGAATCTAAATGCATGAATGAGTTTTTCCAGTTCAGCTGCAGAGACCATAAGTCGTACAACACACAACACTTGTGTGTTGTTCAAACAGCGCTGTGTTTACTGCAGTCTGTGGTGTCATAATCATTTGTGGATTATTCTACATAAAAAATGTGGAATTTTCTGAAAGTTTAATCCTGGATTTTTTAAACTATCCTGGGATGAATATTTTCTAATGAACATTTTTATTGGTGGTCCTGATATGACGTCATAGTGCCAGTAAATTCATAAATAAAGCAGAAAAAATGAAAATATATATACAGGTGAAATAAACTGACTAAAGACAAATATATAAATTATTTGCCAAAAATAAAGTCGCTGGCCACTTTATTAGGCACACCTGCAGATATCTAATCAGCCAATCACGTGGCAGCTCAGTGCATTTAGGCACGTAGAGACCTTCTGAAGCACAAACCGAGCATCTGGATGGGAAGACAAAGCTGCAGCAGCTGCGTGATGATGTCATGATTACGTCATATCAGACCAGAATCAGAGGAATGTTTGCAGCTCCACGTTGAGTCAGAGCCGTGAAGACTCTGAAGGTAAACGAGGTCCAATCAGGCAACAGCAGGGTGGCGTTAGTAAACCGCCCGTGAGTGAACGAATTTATTTATACATTTAATTTTAATCAGCATTTATTTTACCTCAACATCTGTCCCCATGCCTCTCGCTCTTTTTTAAAACTCTCTTTTTTTGGTCCAAGTATATAAAAACCCAGACGATGTAAGTGAGACAGCGCCCTCTGCTGGTGATTCATGCGACTCAACAGATTAAAAAACACTCCGTTCAAACATTTCCAACATTTTTCTCACTTGTCCAAATCTGCTGAACCTGTCAGTTTTCTGTATTAAGCTGTGAAGTTACCTTTTCAAACTATTCATTTGTGCTTAGCTTTCAAGGCACCAACACGCTGCGTGATTTCCAGTATTGGTCAAGTTACTTGAAAAAAGTAATCAGTAACTAATTACTGATTACTTCCCCAACAAAGTAATCCCGTTACTTTACTGATTACTTATTTTCAAAAGTAATTAATTACTTAGTTACTTTTTAAAAACACGATTTACAACCTGAAGAGGTGATAAAGCGATAGATCTTTCAGCCCAATTCTACTTTTTCTACATAATCCATCATACAAAATGTAATCAAATGGAAAAGTCTCTTTTTAAAACTTGTTTATTAGTTTTAATCTTTTAACTTTATGCATCAAGTAAACATTTAATTATATGCAACATTCTCTGACTGGAAGAAATTAGTTTAACATTTAAACCTATTTTCTGCACATTCCAGCACATAAAATAAAATATTTTGTGTGTTTACACTCAGTCTTTCAAATACATGCAAGTAAAACACAGCAGAAAATAAATAAAGTCAAACACTAGCGGTCCTGTTGCTCTATTTTCACCTGTAAAAGCATGAGTGGGGCAGGCGGAGGGTTACCCTGGTGCAGGTGTGCCGCGGTCAGTGGAAGAATCCGCGAGTTTCTCTGTGAGTTTCCCATTACGTCGTAGCTACTCGGTGCTTGTTGGAAGTTTAGGGGTTTTTTTCGCTGTAAAAAGAAGTTTTCTTCCCACGCACAGCGGACACTAATGTTTTTGTCACTTTTTATGGAATCAAACTCAAAGTAAGGTCAGTACAGTGGGGCAAAAAAGTATTTAGTCAGCCACCGATTGTGCAAGTTCCCCCACTTAAAATGATGACAGAGGTCAGTAATTTGCACCAGAGGTACACTTCAACTGTGAGAGACAGAATGTGAAAA